GCAAACCTACAAAATCAGCAGGGGATCAAATACTTTTTTCCCTCACTGTATTGTATTATCCTGCTCAATATTACGTTGTTTATTAACGTCCATTTATGGCATCGATAAGAATTTATTTTAATGCAACGAAGGATTAATGTAAGTTGTTCATTGTATTCCTTTAATTCCTTCTCTATTCTACACCACTCGAAACTACACCAGTATACACTCCACTATACTACATTGAAACTAGATTATTTAGAAATGCTTTTTGTTTTGAGTTTGTTGTCCTACCCCGCATCTCGGATTAGCACGGTTGGCTACACACCGGTGCGAATGAAGTTTAACATAGTAAATACAAAGACAAACATACGTGCAATGCAGTGAAAGTCTGTGCCACTGCTTATTGCTGTGTTTTTGTTATATCGTTCAACACAAACACAGATTTCAAAAGTGGACTCGAAGCGATGCATCCCTGGCCGTCGCGGCTATATGTCCTGCGGTTGAAAGATCTCGAACATCTTTGAACCATTTTGGAGAATACGGTTAACAGCTACTCGATGAACAATGCCAGAGGTTTAGAATGCAATGTTGATGTTTACTGGTTAACCAACAATCAAATTGTCTTGTTCCAGGAAGTACAAGCGTTGCTCCTCCTGCCACCACCACCACGTGCATCCCGCAGCAACCCATGACTCCAGCGCCAGGTGCTCGGCCACTCCTCATGGCACCATCCACACCGCATCCCCGGGGCACTTTTCACTGCGCGTGACCGACTCATTCGTAACAATGTGTTCCCATTCACGGCAGTCACGGAAAAATCATTGGGAGGTTTTTTTTTGTGTGACAATAAGTGTGCCGTGAAAGTGCTGTAACACTGGCATCTCAACTACAAATTACCGCTGCTCCTTAACCGTACGGTGCTAGTGTATCAGGTGACCTTAGTTCAATTCCCGGCATGGCTAACATTAGTAACGGGTCACGTTTGGACCGGTCCCGCACTCTCCCCTTCCCCAACTGGCGGCACTGAACAGTGTGGTGAAGTATGGTCAAAAGATCCCCGTGGCAAAGCGCTGTTAATTATGATCGTGTTCAATGCAGCCTACTCCTGTTGCTGTCATAAAAAGAGTATAATAATAATCACACGTCCCTGCGTAGCGATGACTTCTTAAGCTCTTTCTTGTTGAAGAGAGAATGCATCTTAGCGAGCTTCATACGGTTACAGTTCAAAGTGAAGAGTGAAAGTGGCCTCCTACTCAATTCCACGTTACCATAGCAGGGACAATACACACCTTATCATCATATCGTGATAGCCATGTTATCAAAATGAGAATATTTATTTATACTGGAGGAATTCGGTAAGCTATAAAGCTCTTTTTTCACAGATGTCCATTTGAGGCAGATAAGAACGTTACAACAACAAACAGTACACACACATACGATAGGAGTGGAAAATACAAGAAAGGTAAATAAATCACCCACACACATACAAATACAACACTAAACCATCCCCATCCTACCAGGCAAAGCCCACTGAGGTATTAACTTATTTGTCAAAGGTGACCTGGCTACCACGAATGGACAGCTCAACAAAGTGGCTTATCATTTGGACATTTATCGCAGCCAAAGTAATCTAAATAGTGAATGACCCCCCCCATATGGGATGAGGGCTGATGCAACCCCCAGCTGGGGTTTGAGTCACATGCCCCGAATTGAGTCACATGCCACCAGATTCTGCTTTCGACCAGAGTTGTGTTACAAAAGCCAGCGAGCTAGACGCGATCCAATACACGCGGACGAGTATCACCAAACGTCTCCCGATTTAACGGTCACATCTTCTGTGGATTGCCTTTAAGCAAAGCATGGGGATTGGCACGTTTGGTCATGTGTGCAACTTGATTTGCTCAGTTGCGTCAGGTGGTGAAAGGTATTTGACTTCAGACTTAACGAGATCTAAACCCAAAATTAAATGAAGAATCAAGCGCCACGTGCGTTGATGTATGGAGTGGTGGTGTAGCGGTTAGCGTGCTGCACTATGAAACCTGGCGAACCGAGTTCGATTCCCACTCACCGTCAATACCAGTGACGATTATATGAATCTCTTCTTGGCAAAACAGATAACTCGACTCAATGGACTTGTGTATGTGTAGTGGCATCGGGGATGTCACTGTATGGTGCCGGCCCGGGAGGGCCGTGGTGTGCGATGTTCCTACGTTGCGGACGGCACTTGGTGGGTTGCTGTGTGAGGCCAGCTTTAGCACAGCACGGCGTGCGATGCACCGTCATCACGTACACCCCGTAGGTGGGTGTAGTACCAGCCCTCGCGAGGCTTGGTGAGCGCTGGGATAGCGTGGGCACCACACATAGCGTGTAGTGCTGGCTCCCACAAGGGGCAGGGTTGCCCCGAGACATGGCACTCTGGTTGACCCCGTAGACACGTGATCTGGAGTGTCCACAGAGAATCCCCAGGTGGGGGGGCTAGGGGGTGATCACGTGTCCAAGGAGAGCTCCCGAGGGGGATCGAGAGGGAGCTAGAACGCTCGAGAAGGCGGGCGGGGCCGAGGGCGGAGCTGGCCCCGACCCGGGAGGATATAAGATGGGTCCCTGAGAGGGACCGGGATTCTTCGTCTGACAGCTGGAAGCTCTACATCTACAAGCTGGAAGCTCTACGTCCTACACGTGGTTGGGGACCCGAGTGAGGGTCTGACTCTTTGTAGCGATAACTCCTACGTATAGTGTAGTTAGCTGGGTGGTCACCACCCTAGGCTGTATCTGGTGAAGGGGCAGTTACCCCTTTATGTTAACATGTTGATGTTACAATAAATGTGTTGCCTCTAAAGAGAAACGTCTGCGACTCAGTTGGACTCACTACCCATGAACAATTAAACGAGCGTCATGTGTGTCGATGCTTCGTGTCATCTCTGCAGATGCGCGTCTCGGCTGCAGCTTTGACGACGTGGCGCTCCCGCTGTGCGGCTGGAGTCAGTCGGATGATGATGTCGGAGACTGGATCAGGAACTCTGGAGCAACCCCCAACCCCAGCACCGGCCCACCTGGGGACCACACCACCGGATGTGAGACACCACTGCCCACCCCCACACCCCCGTCCCTTGAGCTGGAACTAAACAGTGCAATTGTCCTTGCACACCGCTAATTGTTATTTGTTTTCATTGAGGCAATGTGTGGGCTCATTACATCACGTTGTGACGTGATGTAACGTTGTAAATGTTGTGGCTTGGCTCTCCAACACACCGGTTAGTGCTGTACTAGTAACGAATTGGCATGTTCTGTTTACGTGACAAACCTTACTAATTGGCTGTATCGGGTGGTGGCTGGTTTAACGACACATATTTATGTGATCTAACCCAAAAAAACGATATTATGGATAAGCCAAACCGGTTATGAAAAGCGGGGGATAGAAAGATGGGGAACGGTATCGCTGCCGCTTGCGTTTTTGTTAATGCCGGGCAACTTCCCATGCTCACCAGTGAAACGTGGCAAGATGTTAACTGCCTCACCTGATATACAGGAGGTCTCAGGTTGGATCCCGACTCTGACGCCTGCTGTATATTTGAAGGTTGCGTGTCTCCCTCCCTCCCCGTGGTCGCGTGGATTTTTCTCCGGCTCCTCAGGGTTTTCCCTCCACATTTAGAGTCATGCGTTTAGAGTATTTGGCTGCTATAAATGTCCACGTGATGATCATTTGTAATGGTCAGGTCGCTGCTGAAAAAGTGCTTCATAACTCAGTGGGCCTTCCCTGGCAAAATAAAAACTGTTTATACCCTTTGGTTCTTTCGGAAAAGTCACATAGAAAAAGAAAATCAAACAAAAATAATATATCACGACGTTTCGATCACAACACAAGCGGTCGTCCTCAGGCGGAAAAAGTAATCCAGCAGTGGAACTGCTGAACCAGTGAGAGAGCTGTTACAACAAGGCTATATATGTGGCGATGGGCAAGCAGGCGGGGTCTGAGCTGGAAAGGAATTCCATCCCCGGATGCAAACAGGTCAGTTGTGTTAATGGAGGAGATTAGGGAGAGAGATTAGGGAGAAAGATTACCATGAAATGAGCTTTCGTCGCCGCATACGAGTATCATCCCAGCATACGCGCAAAACAGCAGGGTTAATTGGAGATTAGCACTATGTTGATGGGAGAGATTAGGGGGATTAGTAAGTTAATGTCATGTCTATGTGTAACACAAGCTGCGGCGCTGCCAACTGCGCTGTGAGGTAATCGCGTCCACGCAAGAGAACCACCGCAACGGTGGTCACGTTAGTGGCGCAATAATGGATATATTTTGCACGGCCAGTGAGCGGTGACGTCACATCTGTGATGTCACTCGCATGCGGCAGCGTTACGCTGTGTGCCTGCTGACGTCACACATCCCCCCCCCCCACCCTCCGCGTAGGCCGTGTATTAATCCAAGACAAGAATCCAAGTCTCCGGCGAAGCCGAGTAGTAAAGCTAGTTAATGAATAGGCTAGAGGCTATGAAGGCCCAAAGGCTTATATTACCTGCCCTACCATTTTGCCTAGGCTGTCCAGCCAAAAAGGACACACTCCTACACAACAGGGAAATGCACCTGCTCGGCCTACAAAAGCTGTGAGTGTGGATTTACAGAACAATGGATCCTACACACAGACAACTGCGCCTTTTGTTGGGTTTGGTCTGCAGACAAGAAGTGGAATGCCTCCAGTTACTCACAAATATCCAGTCTAATTGTGAATTCGTGAGTCCAATGTGGGTCAGGCACAGAACATCTTTGGTCGTGTGAAAAGCCACAAAGTTGGATGGGCCTTCTGTTGTGCTTTCGAGGTGCTGGGATGAATAATAGCAGTCAAAAGAAGGATTAATTAAAATGTCGTTTGCATCACGCTGAAGCCTTCAGTAGAGTCTGTGCCTTGAACTTATCCAGCAAGGATGGCTCCAGACTCGGATAGGAACTTGATTCACAGGACATTGCCAAGGGATCACAGCGGGACGTCCTCGTTTGTTTCAGCCTCCTTCTACCTCTACTTGGACTCTGCATCCATGGGAGCTGGGGGAGGAGTGAGGCTCCTGAGTCCCAGCATCAACACCAACCAGAACGTGTGCCTGAGCTTCTGGTACCACATGTACGGCGATGAACTTATGACCCTGAACGTGCACGTGCTGGAGGACGGCGTAGAGAGACGCGTGTGGCGTGCGGAGGGGCAGCAGAGCAGCGCCTGGCTGCAGGGAACCGTCACCATCCAGGCCAAGCCAGACACCCAGGTCAGTGGCCCCTAATACTCACCACAACTTTCACCATCCAGGCCACACACCCAGGTCAGTGGCTCCTAATAATCACTCAGCTCAGTGTCACCTGGCAGCACCGGCCTTGAGACGAATCGTGCATCGCATCTGCCATGCTAGATGATGCCGGTTGTGTTTTGCATGAAGGTCCCAGTGTGAAGGGGAGATTCACGCTGCCCAATCACCTTGTACCAATGCCGTAATTATAATAATATTTAAATATGCTAAAAATGCCCCCCCTCCCCCCAATATATTGCTATAAAATAGATTTCTGTTTATATGATTGTGGTTATGGTTGTACTTGATAAATCCCTAATCTCTGCCATTACATACAATGAAACAAGAAAAGGTAAAAAAGAAAAACAGAGCAATTTAATACAATATACTATTAGACATGATTGTTAAAAATAAATAAAAAGTTAATCTCATGTGTTAGTGAATTTTTTTATATTTTAGGCAGGAAATTCGTTTTAAAATGTAGATTTTTTCTTTTTAGTCCCCCCCCAATGTTGACTCCATGGCTACGGCCTTGCCTTGTACGTATGTTGTATGTATGTTGTATGTATGTTTAACTTCTTTCGCACCATACGTAGCAAACCGTGATTACAGAGGTGTGGGGGAAGGACAATAGACGAACAGAAAAACATTTGTTTAAAGAAATTAGTTTTCAATCTGGATTTAAAAGTGCATAGCTCTAGTGGCTTTTCATTTACACTGTGATCTGTGTAACTGAGATCGTTGACTTGAAGCTATGCAATCACAAATGCAATACTGTGCACTGTTGTAGAGCATTATGGGTAATGCATAAACAGACTTCCGTCCGTCTCTCCACATTAAATTTCAATATGATCAGTGCATCAGGCCATGGGCCATCAAAAGTTATAATCCAACAGCAGCATCTGTTTAAACAGGCAAACTCTGCACTGGTTTTGAACTTCGTCTCGTCAGCTGAGCCAGAATTTGTAGCATCGATAACAAGCTTGACTGCTGATGAGACATACATGATGAAAACCTGACCGATGTTGAGTTCCACATCATTAAAATTGATTCAGAGTATTCTAGTGTAAAAAATTGAATGTCTGGAAAACTTGCGGGCTAACGTATTTTAGTTTAAATATGACGAGCCAAAGGAACGTCTGCGCATAGTATCACCCGTGCAAACCGATTTTGCCAACAAAAGTTTAGATATGTGGTTAATCAATGTTCTACACAAATCATAAACAGATTTCCATTGAGTTGGTAATTTGTAGATCCTGTTTGAGACGAGATTTCAGGTCAGATTTCCCTGTTTCAGACATCATGAGTAGGCTGTTAAACCAAAACAAAATCTCTATTTTATTTTACCATGTAAGGGACACTGAGCAGTGTAGCTTATTTTCAGAAGCAACCTGGCCACAATTAATAGCTAAACCAAGTGGATTATCATCATGTGTAAATTTCTAGCAGCCAAATACTCTAAAGATACATAACGCATGTTTCTAAACGTGGAGGGAAAACCCGGAGGAGCTGAAGAAAGATCCACGCGAGAGAGAGACACACCGCAAACTCCAATATACAGCAGCAGAACATCAGGTTCGGGATCGAACCCACGCTCTCCTGCATACCAGGCGAGGTAGTTAACATCTCCTAGCCACCGTGATGATGACGACAGAGAGAGACACCGCAACCTCCAAATATACAGCAGCAGATGTCAGGGTCGGGATCGAACCCACGCTCTCCTGCATACCAGGCGAGTGAGTCAACCTCTATCCACTGCAGCTCCCCAAATAATTACTGATCGAGCAGCTGGAGAGAATGAACTGCATACGCTGCGTGAACAAGCACCAGCGCTGGTGGTTGCCCAGTCTGCAGCGGTAGCGCCGCTCCTTATTCTGGGAGCAATGCGCCGAGGCTCTGCGATCTTCCTAGGTCACCATCGAGGGCGTTCGAGGACAGAGCAGGATGAGTGACGTAGCGCTGGATGACATCGTCGTCGTGATGGGGAAATGCCCAGGTGAGAGCACAGATCCGTGCACTGTCAGGAATAGGGTCGCGATCTTGTCTCACGAAAAATCCAGAATTATCCCGAACGTTGGAGTTTAACAGCGATGACAACGGCAATGAATAATGCCGATAACTTTCCGAGCCTGAAAAACCCTACCTACCGAATGCAATGGTATTACATAAATTTGACTTGTATTATTCATAATAAAGGTTTTTGGGTTATATCGCGTTTATTTATAAATGTGTCGTAATCCTCCACCACCCGACACGGCCAATCAGCAAAAAGTGTCACGTTGACAAAAGACAAATAATTCACTACTTAGCCGGTGGGCTAAAGTAGTGAATTATTTGTCTTTTTGCTGATTGGCCGTGTCGGGGTGGTGGAGGGTTACGACACATTTATAAATAAACGCGATCTAACCCAAAAACCTTTATTATGAATAATATTGGTCGCGAAAGCCTACGTGTTAAATTGACTTGTATTGTCAGAGCGTTGTTGTTCTACACGCGTACATTTTACCGCAGCTGATGCACAAATACCACACGAAACATCGTGACGCGTTGCACCGTCAGAAAGCTGACGCAAAAGTCGCGTCACCGTGAGTCACCTCATTGCAAATGAGCCACTCTGTCCTGACCGTGACCCTCCCCCACTCCGCAGAGTGTGTGAGCGGATGTGATTTTGATGAGATGGGGGACTTCTGCGGCTGGGAGAACAGCGGAGGGGACGTGGGCTGGGAGCATTGGAACGGTCCCACAAACACTGAGAACACTGGGCCTGACGATGACTTCTCTCGGCCTGGCTGTGAGTATCTTACAGCCTCGCATCACCCACAGCCTCAACTGGAGCTCCTGGCCTTGAAACCCACATCTAGTATAATGTGAGTCTCGATCACTGTGTTAGTGAATACAGCAGTGTGTCTCGATCACTGTGTTAGTGAATACAGCAGTGTGTGGATCACTGTGTTAGTGCATACAACAGTGTGTAGATCACTGTTAGTGAATACGGCAGAGTGTGTGTGGATCACTGTGTTAGTGAATACAACAGACTGTGTGTAGATCACTGTGTTAGTGAATACAGCAGATTGTGTGTGTGGATCACTGTGTTAGTGAATACACCAGAGTGTGTATGGATCACTGCGTTAGTGAATACACCAAAGTGTGTGTGGACCACTGTGTTAGTGAATACAGCAGTGTGTGTGGATCACCGTTTTAGTGAATACAGCAGTGTGTGGATCACTATTTTAGTGAATACAACAGTGTGTGGATCACTGTGTTAGTGAATACAGCAGTGTGTCTCGATCACTGTGAAAGTGAATACAGCAGATTGTGTGTGTGGATCACTGTGTTAGTGAATACAGCAGATTGTGTGTGTGGATCACTGTGTTAGTGAATACAGCACAGCGTGTGGATCACTGTGTTAGTGAATACACCAGAGTGTTTGTGGATCACGGTGTTAGTGAATACAGCCGAGTGTGTGGATCACTGTGTTAGTGAATACAGCAGTGTGTGTAGATCACTGTTTTAGTGAATACAACAGAGTGTGTATGGATCACTGCGTTAGTGAATACACCAAAGTGTGTGTGGACCACTGTGTTAGTGAATACAGCAGAGTGTGTGGATCATTGTTAATGAATACACCAAAGTGTGTGTGGACCACTGTGTTAGTGAATACAGCAGTGTGTGTGTGGATCACTGTGTTAGTGAATACAGTAGTGTGTGTGGATCACTGTGTTAGTGAATACACCAAAGTGTGTGTGTGGATCACTGTGTGTTAGTGATACAGCAGTGTGTGGATCACTGTGATAGTGAATACAGTAGTGTGTGTGGATCACTGTGTTAGTGAATACACCAAAGTGTGTGTGTGGATCACTGTGTTAGTGAATACAGCAGTGTGTGGATCACTGTGATAGTGAACACAGTAGTGTGTGTGTGGACAACTATGTTAACTGTGCTGTGTGTAGTTGGGAATTACCTGCTGCTGGACTCTGAGTACAACGACCCTGGAACGGTGCTGCTGCTGGAGAGTCCGGCTCTCCGCTCCTCTGGGTGCCTCGTCCTGAGCTTCCACTACTTCCTGTATGGGTCAGCAGAGAACATGGCCATCAACGTTTACATCAAGGAAGGTAGGAAACCTGCCGACTCATCGACAATTTGACGCCCATTGACATTTAAGAATGTGGTTTTGTTTATTTTCTGGTGGACAGCTCTCCGGCAAAGCTGAACGCCTTTAAATTGAGTAAATCAAAATTCACACGGAGCTCGCTTTTCCATCAGCCCAGAGCCTTTCCACCTCGGTGGCGGAGTGTCCCCGTGACGTGATCGGAGGTTGCGGCTCTGCGTTTGAAAGTTCTGTTGCTGGTGGGGTTGTCCGCAGGAGGCTCCAGCCGGCAGCTCGCGTGGTCCCTGCAGGGGAACCAGGGAGCGAGCTGGATGCTGGCGCGGGTCGAATTTTCTGGCAGAGGACCTGTGCAGGTAAGTGAGCGGTCCTGGTGTGTGTGTAGTGGAATAACGCGTGTGGGCTTTTGCCAACAGTGTGCACGCATGTGTGAGCGGCAGACAGTGAGGTCATGTCAGGGCAAACAGGTGCTGTGAGAAAGCAATCCAAGAGAGAGACGACCAATTAAGATGCATAGCAGTGATTGGCTGGCTGCAAATGCAGACACGTTGTAGGCGCCTGGGAGTCTGGAGATGGAGGCGATAAGCGTGGCAAAGACAAGCGTGAGCAGCGGCTTAATGAGGGCTACCTGGGGTCTCTTAATGAGTAAGGGAATATAAGGCGATGTGCGGAGACACGAGGGAGTGGTTGTAAGTTGAGTTGGTTGGAGTGAAGAGAAGAGGAGAGACGAGAGAAGTGGGGGGCCCGCTCTCCACACCTCGTCCTCTCCAGCGGTGCTGGCTGATCTCCCACTGGAGGCAAGAGTTTGGAGAAGTGAGGGCAAACGAACTAGCAGTAGAGAGGCTAGCGAAATCCTAAGTGTGAGTGCCGGAAGACTAGCAGTAGAGAGGCAAGCAGAGTACATAGCGGAAGGCTAGCAGTGGAGAAGCTAGCACAGTATGTAGCGGAAGGCTAGCAGTGGAGAAGCTAGCAGAGTGTAGAGCAAGAGGTTAGCAGTAGAGACGCTAGCAGAAGATATAGTGAGAGGCTAGCAGTGGAGAGGCTAGCAGAGTGTACGGTAACAGGCTAGCAGTGGAGAAGCTAGCAGAGTGTATGGTAACAGGCTAGCAGTGGAGAGGCTAGCAGAGTGTACGGTAACAGGCTAGCAGTGGAGAGGCTAGCAGAGTGTACGGTAACAGGCTAGCAGTGGAGAAGCTAGCAGAGTGTATGGTAACAGGCTAGCAGTGGAGAAGCTAGCAGAGTGTACGGTAACAGGCTAGCAGTGGAGAAGCTAGCAGAGTGTATGGTAACAGGCTAGCAGTGGAGAAGCTAGCAGAGTGTACGGTAACAGGCTAGCAGTGGAGAGGCTAGCAGAGTGTACGGTAACAGGCTAGCAGTGGAGAAGCTAGCAGAGTGTACGGTAACAGGCTAGCAGCGGAGAAGCGAGCAGAGTGTATGGTAACAGGCTAGCAGTGGAGAAGCGAGCAGAGTGTATGGTGGGAAGCTACCAGAGGGTGTAGTGATAGGCCAGCAGCGGCGAGAGCGAAGCGAGCGGAGCGTGGCAGGCAGGCTACCAGTGGAGAGGTTAGGAGAGTGGGAGAGAGAGCAGGCTAGCAGTGGAGAGGCTGAGAGAGAGCAGGCTAGCAGTGGAGAGGCTAGGAGAGTGAGAGAGAGAGCAGGCTAGCAGTGGAGAGGTTAGGAGAGTCGGAGCGAGCAGGCTAGCAGTGGAGAGGCTAGGAGAGTGAGTGAGAGTGAGACAGGCTAGCAGTAGAGAGGCTAGGAGAGTGGGAGAACAGGCTAGCAGTAGAGAGGCTAGGAGAGTGAGACAGGCTAGCAGTGGAGAGGTTAGGAGAGTGGGAGAGAGAACAGGCTAGCAGTGGAGAGGCTAGGAGAGTGAGAGAGAGACAGGCTAGCAGTGGAGAGGTTAGGAGAGTGAGAGAGAGAGCAGGCTAGCAGTAGAGAGGCTAGGAGAGTGAGAGAGAGACAGGCTAGCAGTGGAGAGGTTAGGAGAGTGAGAGAGAGAGCAGGCTAGCAGTGGAGAGGCTAGGAGAGTGGGAGAGAGAACAGGCTAGCAGTGGAGAGGCTAGGAGAGTGGGAGAGAGAGCAGGCTAGCAGTGGAGAGGCTAGGAGAGTGGGAGAGAGAACAGGCTAGCAGTAGAGAGGCTAGGAGAGTGAGAGAGTGAGAACAGGCTAGCAGTGGAGAGTCTAGGAGAGTGAGAGAGAGAACAGGCTATCAGTGGAGAGGCTAGGAGAGTGAGAGAGAACAGGCTAGCAGTGGAGAGGCTAGGAGAGAGAGAGAGAACAGGCTAGCAGTGGAGAGGCTAGGAGAGTGAGAGAGAGAACAGGCTAGCAGTGGAGAGGGAGAGAGGTAACAGGCTAGCAGTAGAGAGGCTAGGAGAGTGAGAGAGAGAGCAGGCTAGCAGTAGAGAGGCTAGGAGAGGGAGAACAGGCTAGCAGTAGAGAGGCTAGGAGAGTGGGAGAGAGAGAGCAGGCTAGCAGTAGAAAGGCTAGGAGAGTGGGAGAACAGGCTAGCAGTAGAGAGGCTAGGAGAGTGGGAGAGAGAGCAGGCTAGCAGTGAAGAGGTTATGAGAGAGAGAGAAGGCTAGCAGTGGAGAGGCTGAGAGAGAGAGCAGGCTAGCAGTGGAGAGGCTGAGAGAGTGAGAGAGCAGGCAAGCAGTGGAGAGGCTGAGAGAGAGAGAACAGGCTAGCAGTGGAGAGGCTAGGAGAGTGAGATAGAGAACAGGCTAGCAGTGGAGAGGCTAGGAGAGAGCAGAGTGAGCGAAGCAGGTAAACAGTGCAAGCGGGAGAGTTGCGACGGAGTCATGTGGTGGTGTTGAACGCGAGGAGTTCTGTTCAAATAAAAGTGACACAGGAGAAAATAAGTTGTCCGCGTGAAATAAAAACACTCCATGTGTAGTGGCGCCTTCGTGGTCACCACACTCGACTTGGGCTTTCGCACCGCACTCGTCGCTTTACGCCCCTTGTTTTACCGAGGCTGTCCACAAATGAACACAAACTCGTTAGAGAACCCAAACATGGCAACTTCTCCTGGCTTAGACATGCCCCGAAGACGCCGGTGGAACCATCAACCGGGCCAGAGCATCACCAGTTCGGCGCGAATGGGGAATTGAAGACGAGCCATAGCGAGCGCGATTGAGGCAATGCAGCGCGAACAACGGACGATATCGCTGTGGCCTGCGCTCCTTCACTGGAGGAGGAATGGCAAAACGACACGAACTCTCTGTGCCAAAGCCCGCTCGTCGTGGCCAGCAGACCTCGACATTAGCATCGAGCTCTTGAACTGGTCGCTGGCGCACGCGAGAGTAGAGTAGGAATGGCGTGCACTCCATGGCTAGGAGATGTTAATTACCTCGCCTGCTATACAGGAGGTTGTGTCTTCGATCCCGACCCTGACGCCTGTTGTATATTTGGAGTTGGCATGTTTCTCTCCCCGTGGTCGCATGGATTTTTCTCGGGGTCTTCCGACTTTTCCTTCAACATTTAGAATAAACGTCACGCGTTTAGTAGTATTTGTCTCCTGCTGTAAATTTCCAAACGACGACGACGACGAGCCACTTCGTTGAGCTATCACTTGTGATGGCCCAGGTCGCTTCTAAAGAACAAGAGCTACACAGCTCAGCGGGGCTTTACCTGGAATTAAAAAAATGGTTGAGTTTAGTTTTAGTTCATGTCTCTCGCGGGATCTCGTCGTATGGGCGTGTGATCGACGCGTGGCACTGTGGGGGGGGGGGGGGGGAGCTTTAGTGTTGACTGCACCCCCGCTGCCTGTCTACACCAAACACTGCAGCTCTCAAAGCTTCCTCACAGGCACGCAGCACGAAGTGAATGAGACAGGCAGATTGCGACCATTATTCATTTCACATTGTACCCGAATCCCCCAAGATGCCACGATGAGTTATGCACAGGCGTACCCATTATAATAAGGTCGCACTCAACACACACACAGCGCTTGCCCAAATGAGCCACAATACCTTGTTGATCTCAACAAGGAGCTTACACCACCATCACGTGATCTCCGGTCATCCTCACAACAGCAGCTTTTGGCTGGCCAGCGAACAAAGACGCTTCTGCGGCCGTCTGGAATGCTCTTCCTTCCAAATTAGTAAAACACTGGGAGCTATGCACTATCAAATCCAGATTGAAAACTATTTTCTTTAGAGCTGCTTTTTGCTTTCAGTTTGTTGTCCTTCTCCTGCACCTCCGATTAGCACAGTTGCCTACGTAAGGTGCAAAAGAAGTCCACCAACATACATACATATTCGATGATGCATTCATTGGCCAGTGACCTCCCACTTAGAAGTTTCACGGAGACAAGAAAGTTTTTGCTCTGTCGGCTCTCATAATAAGGCACGTGCCGCACTCCGAACGCGAACCAACTCGCGCCGTGTGCTTCTGACGTTCCAGTTCGCCATTGAAGAGTTCGGGTGAAACGGGACGAGAGCGACGTTGCTCTGGACGGTCTGTGTGTCACCGAGCAGGGCTGTGCGCCAGGTATGACTGCGCTGAACTGTGAGGCAGCGTCACGCTACGTTGCGTGCGTTGAACTTGTTTTGTACGTAGCCTACCGTGCTCATCGGAGGTCACAGCACAGCAGCTGTTTGTAAATATTGTGGATTTACTCTGCAACACACCGGTGGGCTGAAGTAGTAACTAATTGGCGCGTTGTTTACGTGAGAAACCATGCTGGCTGTGTCGGGTGGTGGAGGGTTACGACACTTTTATACTTAGAGATCTAACCCAAAAACCTTCATTAGACGGATGGTGGGCTGAGTGAGCCCTGCCTGGGATCTGCCTCATTCATGATGGGCTGAGTGAGCCCTGCCTGGGATCTGCCTCGTTCATGATGAGCTGAGATTCTCCCTCCTGGGATCTGCCTCGTTCATTGGCTGATGACCCTACCTGGGAGCAGTCTCATTCATGATGAGCTGAGTGATCCAGGGAGCAGATGATGATGAGTGAGCCCTGCCTGGGAGCAGCCTCATTCATGATGGGCTGAGTGAGCCCTACCTGGGAGCAGCCTCATTCATTCATTCATTCGGTGTGTTGAAGAGTGAATCAACATCACTCTTCAACACACCGGTGGGCTAAAGTAGTGAACTATTTGTCCTTTCTAAACGTGACACATTTTTTACTGTTTGGCCATGTCGGGTGGTGGAGGGTTACGACACATTTATGAATAACGCGATCTAACCCAAAAACCTTTATTATGAATAATATTGGTCGCAAAAGCCTACGTTTTACGCCCCATTCATGATGGACTGAGTGAGCCCTACCTGGGAGCAGCCTCGTTCATGATGGGCTGAGTGAGCCCTGCCTGGGATCTGCCTCGTTCATGATGGTTTGAGTGCTTGGGTAATTATGTTCGAGTCCTGTGACAGCATCGGTTACCTCTCTGGTTTTTGTTCGCTCCTTTTTACACTGGACTTAACCGTCGCATGACGTTTTTATATTAATCTTTGACAGAATACGGTATCATACTAATGTACATTCATGTGTGTGTGTGTACTATTTGCATTGTCAACAGTCTGTAAACCTCCGACTACAAGTGGAAGTTCAGGTAAGCCCCTCCCTCGTCTCATCACTACATTCTTTACTTTGAAATGTGATGGAAATGTCGATCTTGTCTCGTTCAGAAATGCACGCATGTGACTGCAGCAGTGTAAACATTTAATTTCGTCAGTTTTGTTTACAGAGCATTCCTAAACTAAAACAAAACTTTTTTTATTATTTTACCAGTTAAGGCCCCACCGAGCTACGTAGATGAGAGAGAGAGGCACTCAAACTCCAAACATACAGCAGGCGTCAGAGTTGGGATATAACCCACGACCTCCTGTGTCCCAG